TAGATAGATAGATAGATAGATAGATAGATAGATAGATAGATAGATAGATAGATATAGATATAGATAACATCACTATCAAAGAGACTATCCTCAGCATATTCTAACAGTTAATATTTCCTTCCAGCCATTCTTATACTCAAAAGGTCCTCAATTTTACTGATGTAACAGGCTGATGGTTCTTATATCAAATTAAGATCAAGATGAGATAAAGGACATTCTTGATTAATTTCCACAAGAGGTCTGGATAAATGAAGAGATAACTTAATTTATAGTACATTAGCAAAAGAAATTGAGTAGCATATTTTTATCTTCTGAGTAGCAAATTTGTGTTGGGAAAATGCTTGGTATAGAAAATTCTAGTGTACCTTATCAGATGCCTTTTACACATTTCAGAAGGTGGGAAAACCCTCACTCTGATTTCTGAATGTATAAGCAGCTAGTTCAGGATGGATACTTTTGTTCAATCATGTTTGATTTGTAGAGATTTCTGAGACAAGCCTCTGTAGTTTTCTTCTCAAGGTTTTTCAGAAGTAGTTCACTTCCTTACTAAGGCTGAGAGAAAATCACTCGCCCAAGGTCATCCAGTTGGCTTTGTGCCCAAGGGAGGATAGGAACCCACAGTCTCCCAGTTTCTAGCCTGATGCCTTAATCAGTAGACCAAACTGGCTCTCTATTTATATGTTTTATATTTATACATAGAAAAGCAAAGATTATAATATACTGTTATCTGTTTTCTATGAGCCAAGGACACTATTAAAATGAAAAACTAACTTTTGCTTTTATTATATAATGCCTGGAGGAGATGAACCAAAATACTATCATAGATAATGTCTGGCTTTGATTAAGTTCTTCTTTGTTTAATTAAGGAATTTAAAGGCTGTCAGTAAAAATCATCCTAACCTGCACACAATCATGACAATAAATAAATAAAAGAGGAACTTACTTTTTTAATGTACCAAACACTAACCTGTCTGCTTTAGTGCTAATAAAATTTTAATAATTTATACCATCTTTCCCCAGCCTGTCTTGTGTAATTTCCTTCGTACTTATACTTTCAATGATTCAAAATGAGTTTAATATGATAACTTTAAAGTTCTCATAAACCTTTATGGTATATAATATAAACAATAAGCTATATTTTTAATGGATATGAAGAAAACATGATTGGCATACTTTACCGATTGTTGACAATGAATGGCCTATTTTAGAGAATACATTATTTTTCATCCAAAGGATCTTTGTCAAATATAGCAGTAGCACTTAGACATATACCACTTCATAGTAGTTTTCAGCCATCTCTAAATGGTTTACTTAGAGCCAGCGTATTGCTCCGAACTACTGGGTCCTCATTTTACTGACCTCAGAAGGGTGGAAGGCTGAGTCAATCTTGAGCAGATCAGGACTGAACTCCTGACTGTAGCAGATTTAGCTTGCAATATTGCATTCTAACCACTGCGCCACCAGGACTTCTTTATACAAAATATCAATATTTATTATAAAGGCAAAATACTGTAATAGACTAGAGGCTTTAATATTGTCAATCCACAGTTAGAATTGGCTCAATAGGCAGAAAAATAACTTGGGCACAGTCTTCATTACTGCAACCAGTTATTGTTTCAGTTATACTAATTATTTCTAAGTGTACATTTTAGATATATGCAAATTTCATGGATCTTTTGGGAAGTTAGCCAATTCTATAAACTTCTTTCCCAGATACACACAGAACCTTTCATAATATTGGTCACAAATGTCATTTTTTCTGCACCCAGGAAGTGGAATTTATATTGCTCAATGAAACTCCTTTGATTTAATGATGAAAGAAATGATATAAGTCAAATATTTATTTTCACAGGGTAGAACTTTCAAAATTGGAAATAATCAGTTTGAATTTGAGACCACAGTGGAACAAACAGAAAATGGAAAATATGTATTTGAAAGCCCAGAGGTAAATAGTTTCTTTTTTAAGAACAATTTACTGTTTCTTTCTCTTTTTCTTTCTTTGCATTGTTATAAAACAATTAATCATGTCTTTTTTAAAAGGGAGTATAGTCAAAGGTTGATTAAGAGGGTAGTAGATTCACAATGAAGTTGATTTCATGTAATATTGGAAAAGTCCTATTTTTCACCTGTCCCCTATAATTGGTATATTATTGGCTATGTTCAGAGAACTGTTGACAGTATTTTTGTGTGGAGAGAAAATGGCATTGATTTCCTGTTGGTGTGTTCATAAACAGACTATTTATGAATGCTTCTTTTGATCTCATGTGGCAGGAAATCTGTCATCTTTCATATAACGTATATCGTATGCCTCCTGCAATGGAGGTAAGAAAGTAGAGGAGGTTTGGTTGTGAAGACTTATCTAAGTTAAATTATAAACTCAGCTTTTGATGTCATTCAAATGTTCTTTGTCGGATAAAATGTACTAATGATAGATATACATATGATGGAACAGATGGTTCTGGAAACACTCATCCCATGAGCTTTTGTGTGGGAAGAAAATTTATAGCAATTGCAGAAACTTTTAGAATGTAAAGTATGTTTTTGTCTGCTTCATTCATATTTTTTCTTAGTTCTTTGAAAGCCACATTTCTGAAACAAGAAAATAAATATACTTATGGATATTTTTCTTTTATACCCTAGCTGAGTAAGCACTTTGCTTCCACTTTATATGGTCCTAGAGTTAGTAAGTAAAACTAAATGTGAGTCAAGAAACATAGAAGTGCTGTTTTCAGTTAATTCATGGTTAATTTATGGCATACACTGCCACAAAATGGGTAACTTAAAGGACCAGAGAGTGTTGTGCAGGTTAAGACTGCTTTCTAGCCATGATGATTACATATTGACTCTACTATCCAGAGACAGTATATTTCTCAATATTAGTTCCTGGTGAATGAAAGTAGCAAATTCCAGAGATAATTGGGGGATGACATTCAGTAAATACTTTAATCTAATTCAAGAATAGCTCTTCTGTGTTCCTATAACAGAGTAACATTTTTGGTGCATTTACTGGCTTTCTGCTGCACGATTCTTTTTTTCTGTTTGTTGGAAAAATGTAACTATGAATATAACTATTTAGATGACTAATATTGCAGTAGTAGCCATTTGGTTTTAGATATGCGGCCAAAAACTTTGGATAATTTTTAAATGAAATTGGTGGTGGTTACACACATTCAGCTAGATATTTAGGCTGGATTTGACATTTTTATCTACCCATTGAGTCCTTCCCAAGGACCTAAGATAGGAAGATGATGTTGTTCAATGATGTTAAAGGTATCAACACATAATATAAGCTGTTATCAGATCCAAACGCAAATACAATACTGTGAAATCCAATTGAGCCCAATCCAAACCCTATGCCTAATGGACAGATTCTTGCTAAAGAAAAGTTACAACCTTCTAAATTACAAGGTATATCCCAACTACTTTTAAGGGGCAGAATCTTTTCAAACTAAAATACTAGGTATATCTTGTGTACACCCCGCTCCATGGGAAAGCTCTGTGCTGCCAAAACTCCTCTCTCCGCTACACCAGGTACACATTCCATCACAACTGTTCCAAATAAAATTGCCTTTTGCAATTCACTGATGGTGATTTTTACAGTGCCAGTAGTGTTCAAGTGGTGTTCCTGTTTTGGAATTGCAATCAAGGGGCCTATTACTATGGGTACTTATTATTATGGTTTGATTGCACAGTCATTTAGACTGGGCTTGACATTTTTTGTCCACTTATTGAGTTCTACCCAAGGATTTGGAGCAGGCAAATGTTGTTGAATAATAATAATAATACTGAAAATATCATCCCAGGATGTAAGCTATTCCAAGTAAACTTGCTTTTTGCATTTTTTTTTTTATTTTCAGATTACCAATATTGAAAATGAAACTCTACCATTGAGTTTATTCATTAAAACAGATAAAGATAAGATTGATAGCAAGTTAATTGGTAAGTATCGAGCAACCAAAAATGAAGAAGAGATCTAAAAATTGATGGGAAAAGTTTTCATTTCTCAAAGGTCATATCTTTTCAGAGTTGTCCATTATTTAGATGATGAATATATACTTATCAAAAGGATGAACAATTAGTCACATAAATTGAAAACCAGGATACCATACAGTTAGTCTTCAACTTAAAACAGTTCATTTAGTGACTGTTAAAATTTACAACAGTACTGAAAAACATGATTTATGGGTGTTTTTCACACTTAACAACTGTTGCAGCATACCCATGGTCACGTGATCAACATTCAGACATTTGTCCTGTGTCATATTTATAAACGTTGCAGTATCCCAAGGTCATGTGATCACCTGTTACGACCTTCTGACAAGCTGAGTCAATGGAGAAACCAGATTAACTTACCAACCATGTCACTACCATATTTTTCGGAATATAAGACACACCAGTGTATAAGACGCACCAAAGTTTTGAAGAGGCAAATAAAAAAAAGGTTTTGCACTCTGCAAACCTCCCCCAAATGGCCCATTTTTTTGCAAAAATGGGCCCATTTTTCACCAAAAAAAAGGCATGAATAGCCTTTAGGGGCTTGCAGAGTGCTCCTGGGGGGGGCAAAAACAAGCAAAAAATGGCCCGTTTTTCGCGAAAAGAGGCCTGTTTTTCGTGTAAAAAAAATGGCATGGATAGCCTTTAGGAAGCTTATAGAGTGCTCAGGGAGGGGGGTAAAATTGAGCAAAAAATGGGCCATTTTCCGCTCATTTCTGTCTTCCCCACCCCCAGGAGCTCTCTAAAGGCTTCCTACAAGATATGCACTGCCATTTTGGTGAAGGGGGCGGGCCTTCGGGAGGTAAAAAATGCTGTATTCAGTGTATAAGGCACCCAGATTTTCAGCCTTTTTTTTTTAGGGAAAAAGGTGCGTCTTATACTTTGAAAAATACGGTAACTTAACCACTGCAGTGATTCACTTAACAACTGTAGGAAGAAAGGTTGTGAAATGGAGCAAAATTACCTTAATAATTGTCTCAGTTGGAACAGAAATTTTGGGCACAAATGTGGTTGAAAATCGAGGATTCCCTGTAATTATTCTCACATATGAAGAGGAGATTAAAGCAATTGTTAAACTTTCTCATACCATTTACCAGTAGGATGAGAAAATTTTTAAAAATGTCTAATAATTTCTGCAGTTTTATGGAAGAATCTTCTAATTCCTTCCAAATTCTGATATATCACGTCTGAGTCTAGACTAGCCCCAAGTTGCTATTGAAAATCATTCTGTGTATAAAAGGCCACAATTTCTTTTCTCATTTCAGACATTCCACTCTATAGACAATAAATCAGGATTTTTCTTTCGTTGTGATACCATTACCACTGCTTTTTTTAAACTTTAGATCAGTATGCATGAGGATATTTTTGATTACAATCTAGAAGTGTTTTTCTGAAAGCATAAATCCAGCCACTATATTTCATGGCTGGGCAGGAGGGTCGATTACAATGAGTAATTAAACATGACAGAATCAAACCATAACCTTCCAAAGCCATTTTAGTAATCCTTTTGTTGGAGTTCAGTGTCATGTGTATCTGATATGTCCATATTCCTAATAAATCTTACAATCTCTAGCTATAATTTCGAGCAAAAGTAATCCTTTTAAATGGTTGTTAACAATTTCTAAATACGGTAAATATATTCTTTTTAAAAAACATTAATATCCTCTCAACCCAAACAGATTACATATTATTATTTGTCAAGATAAATGAACCATTGATGGAATGTATCAGGGGTGGGTTCCGGCCGGCTTTACTGCCCGTTCGCTTGTGCGTTTGCTGTGTGCACGTACACAGTTCAATTAAAATTATTTTGTGCATGCAAAAAGCTAAAAAAAAATTGGTGGTGGTGACTGGGGCCTCGCAGGCCTGGGTCGCTGCCAATTCCAGCGCCCCAGGTCGCCATAGGGCCGAATTAGTAGGAACCACCTCAGGAATGTATCAATCTTTAAAAAAAATCATAGTGTATGTTTTACTAAACATTCCCAGGGAAAATAGATAAAATATTGTGCAGGTGTAGGATACTGATATCCAGCAGCAAAATAGATGAATTTCAGTAATGCATTTCTTTCTTTTCCTTTTTTCCCAAAATTAAAATTGGGGATTGGAGCAGGGATTAAGTCTATCCTTAATCTCCCTCAGTTTGGAAAACGGCATTAAATCAATGGCTATTTGAGGTTATTTGGAGTTCTTTAAGAGAATAAGGCTGGGGATTGAATTGTTTTACTTCACAGTTCCTAAACTCTAAAAAAAAAAGAATATAAAATGGAACAGAAAAAAAATCAAGTCCACCTCACCACACAATCAGTGCCACCCATGATTCAATAACAGTAACCTTAGAGTTGGAAGAGACCTTGGAGGTAATCTAGTCCAACCCCCTGCTCTTGCAGGAGACCGATACCATTTCTAATAGATGGCTGCCGAATCTCTTCTTAAAAGCCTCCAGTGTTGTGGCACTCACAATTTGTTCCGCTGGTTAATTGTTCACACTGTTAGGAATGTTTCCTTAGTTCTAGGTTGACAGTTCAGATATTGCTTACCACTTACTATATTACATAGCCCACTGGCTATCATTTTGTTGACCATGTTCAGAAAAAAAAATTCATCCAATAATAATGGCAAAGAATAAGGCTCAGTTCCTAAACTATATGCATCTAAGCAGTTAAATCCCTTTCAATTGTGTTATAATCCCAAAGGAATATTTTAGAAATTCTGATTTCTGTATGTGCTCCTGCTTTATCTTTTAAAAAATCAATTGGAAATAACAGATTGCCATCTATCTGAAATAGCTTGTCAAGCTTAGAGGAAGTATAAAAGGAAATGAGAAACAAAGTGGGAAAGAGTTTGTTATCATTACAATCCATTTTCATATGGTATTATATACAATATGTGTATATTATTACTAAACTTAAATCTGAATGTAATTACATCATTAAACCGATCACTTTGGTTATTTATCTTTATTATGCATATGTCTATATTACCCAATTCTCAAGACTAATACTTACTCAGAAGAGAAGCAATTATTGTATTTCCAACTGTAAATGAATTCCTTTCTTTTGATCGCCTATTTTAACTAAAGGAAGTAACATTGGTATCTAATACTTTTTTTTATAGCTACTGGAGACTTTGAACAATGTTAAATTCAATATAGCCCTTTTATCCTTTGTCCTGTTTTATCAATGGTCTCCCAGCTAGAATCTAAAAACGATGGATGAGGGCTAGAATCTAATGTCAGGCTTGCTGCTGATACATTTAATGAGCTGATCAGTAACAAAACTTATTAACATTTTGAGCTCTGTATCTGTATTATACTGTATATAGCTGTGAGGACATTCAGTATATTACAAGTCTAATTTGGAGATGGTTTGAAGGCTGGCTTTTGCAGACACAGGAGTCATTCTCATTTCTGCATGCACAGATGAAATATATTTTGAATCACTTGGTTAGATATAGAGGACTTGCAGATAGATTTCTGATATACAGATTTTTGAAATGGAGTTCTATCAGCCTCTGTCATGACTCCTATAAATGTTCCCTTCAAATGGATAATATGTACATATCAATTTCAGAAGCTGAAATCAAAAAGGCCCAAATGATTTCCATTAAAACCATATGCCTTCTATCAGAAGTCCATATTTATACATATCTATCTTAGGAATTCAGAATCAAACTTAAGACATTATACTGTTTCTTTGTCAAATCTGACTATTAATCATACAGCTAACTTGTCTATTCATATATTTTAATGACCCAGTGCATCCTGTTCATATGAATTAATGAACCAGTGACAGGGAGCATAGTGCTCAGAACTTTCTCAGGAAGAAAACTCAGATCTCTGATAGTACTTTTTCATATTAACAAATTTTATGAAAAGGGATAAAGTTTTATGAAAGTTGCTGAAAGCTTTGCTTTTTAAGAAAATTTGTTAGTGTGAAAAGGAACTACCAAACCAAAATCTTGGTTATAGTAAACTAACATGGTTGTGTTCCTCCAGATATCCAGGAATAAGGTAATGAAAAACAATGTCCGTAATTGATGCCAAGAAAACTAGAATGAGGTTGTATTTATGAAACCACCATGAGTTGAGCTTAAATTAAAAACTTCCTTTTAATGGAGGAAATAATCTACAATTCTTGTAACAGGCAAGGGAAGAAAATCCATAAAGATAAGGGTAATATTTTGAGTCTGAAAATGTAGGTGAATATAAATGCAAGATACATGATTGTAATGCAAACGTATATTTTGACTATGATAGGAGAGATCTTCTTTTTCTTTCCCAAAGAGTATATTTTTATCTTTCGGACAAGAGGAAGAATGTGAGGAGAGAAAATATATTTTATTTTTATGGAAGACCTCTCATATTATTGTATCATGATGTCTGAGAGTGAGAATTATAACTAAAAATCAGTTGCAATTTGGGGCAAGACTGTAACAAATTCTCTGATTCCTATGTAACTTGCAACCTTTTCTATTTCCCATCATATAATCTAAGAAGTGTTGGACTAACATTAGGAAAATCCAACCCTCATGGATGAAAGATTCTTTCTTCTCAGTGAGACTTTAGGCTAGTCACAGCCAGTGGTGAGTTCCTACCGGTTCGGACCGGTTCGGCCGAATTGGTAGTGGCATACAGGCCTGGGTCGCCCAAACCGGCAGAAACATAGGCCTGCCACACCTCCGAACTGGTTCCCCGGCCACCACCACCATCTTGGTTTTCAGTTCTGTGCATGTGCAGAACAATTGTAATTGGACTGTGCATGCGCACGTAGAGTGCATCCAGCACGCCCATGAGCAAATCAGCAGTACCGTATTTTCACCCATATAACCCGCCCACGCAAATAACCCGCCCACGCGAATAACCCGCAGGTTTTCAAGATCGTGTAAAATATTTTTCGTATACCCCGCCCACTTATATACCCCGCGACGAGTATGTGAGAAGGGAAACTGCTGAGATCGGGGGAAGGAACGGAGGAGAAAGCCTGGGCAAGCTGGGGAAGGAACGGAGGAGAAGGAAACTGCTGAGATCGGGGGAAGGAACGGAGGAGGAAGCCTGGGCAAGCTGGGGAAGGAACGGAGGAGAAGGAAACTGCTGAGATCGGGGGAAGGAACGGAGGAGGAAGCCTGGGCAAGCTGGGGAAGGAA